AGTTTTATTATACATCAAACTCTTGCTACACAAGGGTTCGTTTCTTCATTTGAGCATGTGTAAACTTTTTTACCATAATGTTGTTGTCTTTCTTATTGAATATTAAATATATATTAGTGTGTATTTGTTAAGTTCACTGTCATTGGGATTGACTGGCTACAAGTTTTTGCCAAACTAATTCAAGTGATAAGTTAGACAAGGCATAATCTCAATATAAAAGTTTTTTTTTTAAATAAATAAATAGTTAAATATTTTTGAAAAAGTGCTAGGCAAATTTTAAGGCATGAGCGCAAATATATAATTTTATTAAAATAAAGATATTTCGGTTATACTAGTTTCATCATTTAATGACAACAAAAGTAAGAATAGAAGCGGACATTGGCAAAACATGAAAAAATAAAATAAATCATACTTTATTTAAAATTAATTCAAACCAAGTTTAAGTAAATTAAGCGACCGTGCTAGAACCACGCGATTCGGGGAGTGCTTCACATCTTCTTCCCGATCAACAGAATTCCTTACCCGAGCTTTGTTTTCGCAGACCAATAATAAAAGAGTCAAATCTTCCTTTGATTAGGGATCCAAACAAAAGGTGACTTGGAGCATCCAAAATCAATTCCAAGTGACGGCTCTGTAAATAAAATAATCTCTTCTCAAAATTATCACGTTAATTGGAAAAACTCTTTAACCCACAACAATAACATACACATATCGTTTGGGGTAGAAAAAGGGGCGTGACAGATACGGGGACTTAGATGAGCTGCATCTTATGAGACGATCCGCAGCCATCAGAGTCTCCTTCAAAGTACTTGTATATTCTTTTCTGTCCAAATTTGTATTCCGGATGGTTATTGTATTGTATTTTAAATTCCTAGTAAATACTCATGCACTTGTGATACCGAGTTCTGGGATGATTATGTGATATTCAGTGTTAAGAATGGAAAATATTATTAATTATTCAGTAAAGTTCATCTTTTTACTAGTTAAATTAAGGAAATTTATGATTTCAAAATTAAGATGAGAATTTAATTAATGGATTTTGGGTCGTGACAACATGGTATCAGAGCACTAGGTTCACTTAGGTCTCACGAGCCATGAGCTAGTTTGTTAGAGTCTTGCGGGTCGGTATGAAGATATCTGTACTTATCTTCGAGAGGCTACAGGGCTGTTAGGAGCACTTCCCTTCTTGATTCCTCATCGTGCGATGATTCCTTTGAGGCTTATGCCTTTGTTTCTTTCCTACTCGATCTTATGCGACGTGAAACACTTGTTATAAATCGGAAATTGAGGAATTTTAATGGTACTACAAATGTGGTGCAGGATGTTTCTCCCTGCGTAATTGATTGGGCTATTGTCGTCGCCTTTCGGAAGGCCGTTCTGTTTCAGCTCAGTATTAGTACTACCTAAGGTTTTGTGATTTGACATTCATTGTTATGACGATTCGTACGTTGCTATCGCACAGTGTTGGTGTAACGGTAGGATACTTGTCTATGTGTCGAAGCAATGAATGACTTGGAAGGAGATTTACATAGTGCATGACTCAGAGATTCAGTATTTTATTTCTAGCAGAGGAAAGGCAATCAGACTATGAATGTTTAGGTTTTGATCGATGGAGTAGCGAGATTGGTATTTTCAAGTGTGGTGGAATTTTCACTTGTGATGTGGTGTGTTGTCCTTGTTGAATGTGTTAGGTTCGTCGGTGTCATGGCCTTCTTCAATTCGTCTTTGGGGCAGAGTATTGTGAAGTAGTGCCGGGGAAGCAGCTGTCAGAGATCGCGATGTGCGTGGGTTCAGGTGTGACTCAACACTCAACAGATGTGTGACTTTTCTTTGAAAAAGAAAATTTCAATAATATTGAAGACAATGTTGCTTGCTTATCTCAGTTGGAAGAAGGATATATTGAATACGAAAAAATAAAGCACACTTCACTAAAGTTCTTTTCAGACATGATCTTCGACAAAATTGGTGATATATATGTTCAACAAATTTATTTGATTGATAATTTGGTGGATCTGTTCAATGAATCATTACCAACCTCAACATTTGAGAAGCTGGTATATGGCATTGGAGTGTGTCATTTCCGAAAAGTAAAGTGATGTTTTCATCAAGGGGAGTAAGTGTAAGATATGCGCTGCACTCTTTTTTCCTTATCTAAGATTTTATCCCACTGAGTTTTCCTAGCAAGATTTTTAATGAGGCAGCAAATAATGCGTATTACAAGATATGTGTACTATTTTTCCTTCACTAAGATATTTTCCCACAGGGTTTTTTCTTAGTAAAGTTTTAACGAGGCACATTATCTATAGACATCCAAGGTGGAGTGCTATGAAATATTATACTATATAGTAGATGTCTATAACTCCTAAAGAAGTTACTCTCACTACTCTTCTCCATTAACCTCCCACTACTTCTTACCACTATGGTTGTAACTCCCACACCTCCATAACATCCTCCATGATCTTCCCCCATGATCTCAATAGTTAATACCACGGTCATGACATTCCTTTGTATTACCTAAATATCATACTATAAATAGATAGTTTGGGCATCACATTGTACACACTTGAATATATGGAAGAAATGAAATCTCTCATCACTTTCTCCTTACATTCTTGTCTATTTTTTTATTTTATATTATCACTTTGAGCTAAGTTTCTTAATATTTAAAAGTTTGTTTTACTTTTGTTTTTTTTGATTTATATGGAAAAGGTCCTGTATAAGTTCCTGCTCTTCCATTTTTGCAACTAGAAATGTGAGTATCTCTATTCGAAATTAGTAGCATTTTGGTTTGATATGACTATATAATAGATTGTCTAATCTCGTTTGGTATGTAAACTTGACGAAATTATAGCCCGTTTGGCCAAGTTGCAAAAATCAGTTTATTTTGAGAAGTGTTTTTTTTTGCAAAAGTGTTTTTCTCAAAAGTACTTTTGGTGAGAAGCAGTTTGTGTTTGGCTAATTAGTTTGAAAAGCACTTCTGAGCAGCAATTAGTGTTTGGCCAAGCTTTAAAAAACTGCTTCTAAGTGTATTTTTCTCAAAAGTGCTTCTCAAAAAAGTGCTTTTGGAGAGAAGTTACTTTTTTCTGCTTCTCCAAAACTGCTTCTGCTTCTCCTCAAAAGCACTTTTTTTCCTTCCAAAAGCTTGGCAACACCTCAATTTTCGGCCAAAAGAAAAAAATTTGGCCAAACAGGCTATTATATTGCATGGTTTGTGCAACGCCCTTGTAGACGGCTTAACACATGCTTTCCTTTGAAATATTCCTTATACACCTCAACTCTGCAAGTGACTTTTAACACAGTTCAGGAAAAAAAAAAACTTATTTTCTTGGTTTTGTTGCATAAGTCAAACAAAAACCCTAAGAAACACAATTTCAATTTCCTGTCACGTTCTTTTCATCTTCTTGATTTGTTACATATCCATAATTGTGGAGGGAGGTGTTTGCGTGGAGTTGGAGGAAAGATATCTCAAAGAGAGTAAATAAATAAGGATATTATTTGTTTATTTATCAACTATCTGCAATAAATTAAAGAAATTTTTAACGAAATGATATATTATTTAAATACTTTTAATTGTAAAAAGTTGTAATATATGGTACCTTTTATGTCGTTCTCAATTGTTTATATTTTACTTTAAAAAATAAAAAATTTAGTGTCCAAATAAAACAAAAAATTAAACATTTGACCGTTGCATTCGGAGATTTGCACCAATAGGATCTTTCCGTGTCACCGTTTTAGTTTTGAACTCATATTAAATTTTTTACAAAAATAGATTCACGGCCAATATTATATAGCAAATCCTAATGAATGGTCAAAATTTAAATTGATGGGTAAAACTTGCAAATTACCAAGATTTGTGGCCAAATCGCATATCACAATGGCTAACATTCTGCGATTTGGCCACAACTCATGGTAGATTTTAAGCTGATGTGCAAAAAACTTGCCTTGTCAGTGTCACACATCTTGATAGAATGCGGAATTCTGGAGCGCCATAATTTGGTCATTAAATTTTGACGGATGGCCATAACTCACTGTGTGAAAATTTCACCAATAGGGGTTTTGCTTCAAAATTGGTCTAAAATAAAGTTCAAATTTGATATCCAACCTTCTAATATCAATCGCAAAAATTTACAATGGTTTAACCCAAATATTCAGAGAGTCTACAAAGTTTTCAGCTCAAGGAGCAATAGTGTTATTTAATTTTCCTTCAACCAAGCAAATCCAAATCAATAGGGATAGATGATATTTAAGCTCAAAGGAACGTTATCCACTCAGTTTGAACCACAAATAAGCAATGAGTTTTCAATTTTCTGCAACATATATTTCATTCTTTTTTAATTTTAGTTGTGCTCATAATCTATTGGAAAAGAATGAGGAGGAAGAGGAATTGAGCAGATAGAGAAGGAGGAGGAAAAGAAGAATAAGGGAGAAAATGCGGAGAAGGTCTGCCGAAATTTATATTTTCACAACTTGTCGTAAATGAGTCAAAAATTAAACATCATTTCTTGAGACAATTATTTCGTGAAAATTCTTGGTCGTGGTCTGAATCTCTTCATATTTGGGAATGGATAAGAGTATTTACGGATGGGTATGTCAAAAATTTGCTTGCACAATCAATATATCAAACTTCAAAAAATAAAATTAACTTCAAATGCGGATTTTTGTAACTTGAATTCTATGTGTCTAAAGTGTTTTTGAAGTGGCTAGACTTATAAAAATTCGTGGTTAGGCCATGATTTAAAATAGAGGTTCCAAGATGGGCTATATGTGCACTTGCCTGGGTAGGATGGTTGGTGACTTGGTTCCCCAAATAACCCAAATTGGAAGGTTTGTATCCAATGTAATCTTGTGAATAATTCCAATCAATATGGGTCCACCAATACCAATATAGTGACTTGCTTACTGCAAATCATAGTATATTCCAATGCCCAGGTACTTCGTACGTAGTCTATCTCGTGCTTGTCTCTCTCTACTTTTTGTCTTTCTTATGTTGCTTTAGATTTTTAGTATAATGTTTATTTGGAACTACGTGGCTAATGGTTCCGAAACTATAACTGCTGCAAATTAAAACACGCTTTCTTGTCTTCATTCAGTTAGTGTTAGCTAGTGTCAGAAAGTACACTGAGCTACTAATACGAAGACCAGACTTTTTCCAAACTTGGATACCCCTGTTCTACTTTTGAGTTTTATATATGATTTCTTTCTAGTCAATCTCAGTAGGTATTGAAGAAATAATTGCATCTTTGTGAATCTTGAAACCCTTTTACTTTTTCTTTCTAATGGAGCGTTATGAGTTTGTGAAGGATTTGGGTTCTGGTAATTTTGGAGTAGCTAAGCTTGTTAGAGATAAACTTACCAAACAGCTCTTTGCTGTCAAGTTCTTTGAAAGAGGCCAAAAGGTCGCTGATTTCATTTATTTGGGGATTTTAGTACTTATTTATTTTTGGCTAATCACCAATTTTCTCTCTGCAGATTGATGAACATGTACAAAGAGAAATTATGAATCATAGATCATTGAGTCATCCAAATATTATCAGATTCAAAGAGGTATAGTACTCAGCCTCTTACTGTTGGAAACATTTTATTTTGTTGCTCCCTCCGTTCTCTTTTACTTGTCCAGCTTGCATGTTGCACGCCCATTAAGAAACCATTAATCAAGTGTTTTTTTTTTATAAAATTATCCTTGTTAAATCTAAATTTGACTATTAGTACTCCGATTAGTTTTAAGGGTAGAAATGAAAAACTAATAATTAGTTGTCTCTTGATTTGCTAAAATGGACAAGTAAAAGACAAGTGTTTCCGGTTCATCTTCTATGACATTATTTCCTTATTAGTCAAAGGATGATAGTTTTCTATAATTGAGAACAGTTTAACTCTAAACTTTTATTTTATCCTTAATGACATGCTTTTATAGTCACAGAAGAATCTCGTCGCATGTTTAATATAACAAATTTCAAAAGTCTTTCATTCCTTTTTAAATATCTTGTAGTGAGGAGGGAGTATTTATTTTAGCCGATTCCTCTGGGAAGCCTACGATGTCTAGATACTCTATTACTACGAAAGTGGCTCGTTAAGCTAGTCTAAACCATGTATGAAACCATATCTTTTTTTAATCTTTTTTATTTTTTGTAACAACAATCTTGTCTTCCTTAATTTTATTTTTGCATTTGCAGTGTGTGGTTTATCTTAGGAAGTTCCCAACTGTCGTTGTTGCTCTTGTTTTTGAATTATTTCAGAGGGTTAACAGTGAGTAGTAAGTTAGTTCTGCCTCTATTTTGAAGGACTCTGCATTTTGCAGCCAAATGCTAATTTTGCTTCTTATGAAATTGAATTTATCGATCCTTTTGATGATCTCTTAATTTGTTCGTGCTGGCGTTCCTGATGACTACTAACAGTTGGTTTAGAATGAATGTATTGCCCTGGTTTTAAAGAATTTGAGTGAAATGAAGTAAAACATGTAATTTAGCAGCAAGTACATTTTTCAGTTCTGTTTATGGCTTTTTATATCAATGGACTTCACACCTCTTCCAGGTATTGCTGACACCTACTCATCTAGCAATAGTAATGGAGTACGCTGCAGGCGGAGAACTCTTTCAGAGGATTTGTAAAGCTGGAAGATTCAACGAAGATGAGGTATTAGATGATAATTGGAGTGATAACTTGTGCTTGTTATATTCGGATTTGAATAGTGCAGAATGCTTTCTATTCAAACTTGAAAGTCAGCTTGTAATTGTGTATTTTAAATTGTTTATATATTTGGTTTTTGGTCAGGCCAGATTCTTCTTTCAACAATTGATATCAGGGGTTAGCTACTGCCATTTCATGGTAAAACATCAATACTTCTCATGCTCTCAAGTTTCAACTAGTTTGCGTTTTCCGTGGACCTATTTTATTGATATTTGGCTGCAGCAAATCTGTCATAGAGATCTCAAATTGGAAAATACATTACTGGATGGAAGTGCTGCACCACGAGTCAAAATATGTGATTTTGGTTACTCCAAGGTCAATAATCTTTTGGCAAAAATTATTTCTGACAGCCGTTCTAGATTTTCTGTTAACGTTCCCGATTAACTACTTGTTTGCAGTCATCTCTCTTTCATTCTCAACCCAAGTCCACTGTAGGGACACCAGCTTATGTTGCACCAGAGATCTTATCAAAGAAAGAATATGACGGCAAGGTGCTAACTGTTTCTGATCTTTCATCCAAAAATTTCATAATGTTTATGTAATATAAATGCTTTTAATTCTTTAATCTACAGGTTGCAGATGTTTGGTCTTGTGGAGTCACTTTATACGTAATGCTGGTTGGAGCTTATCCATTTGAAGATCCCAGTGATCCAAAAAACTTGAGAAAGACCATTTCTGTGAGTATACGAAGAATTACATACACTTGTGATAGATAGTAAAGAACTTGATCTGATTTATAAAAAGAGATTAAAAAAAAAAAAGAGCTGTTCTATTTTGAATGTTGTATAACCTATTTTCTGCAGCACTTTGATTGAGTTAATTTTCCATAACAGAGAATATTTAGCGTCCAGTACTCAATTCCAAAACATGTCCAAATTTCCATGGAGTGCGAGCATCTCTTATCCAGGATTTTTGTGACAGATCCTGAAAAGGTAAGAATACTCTTCTGCCAAAATTTGTATCATCGTAAATCTTATATGTGAAATGTTGTTCATAACTGTTTGAGCGACACGATCATGAATCAGTTATTACTCAGTATATCCTATCGATAATCACAGTTGTTGATATTCAAGTTTTCATCCCACTGCATTATGCTTGGACAAGCCTCCATTTTTTTTTTCTGTTTCTTGTTTTAAATGTGTTCGGAGTAGTGCAATAATATTGTTGGTTTGCTGATTCTCTTGTAGAGAATAACCATTCCGGAAATTAAAAAGCATCCCTGGTTTTTGAAAAACTTACCTGTCGAATTCATGGAAGAAGGACGACACGAATGCATTGATGTAAATAACCCGAGTCAGAGTATGGAAGAAGTATTGGCAGTAATAGAGGAGGCAAGAATTGATTTACAGGTATCTAAGGTTGTAGCAAATGCATGTGAAGGCAGCATGGAACTTGATGAATTAGATGATGAAGATATTGAAACAAGTGGTGATTTTGTTTGTGAATTGTAATGTGTGTGGGGACAATGTTGTAACTTACCGAAAGAGAATGAGTTTAGAATGCTGTAAATTCCAAGTGACTCTGAGTTCTCTATGTACAGATAGGTTACGTTTTTACTAGGTGTAACTTTCTTTCCTTTGTCATTTGGAATTGATGGTTTCCTATAGATAACAAGGACAACAAACTGAAATTCAGAAGTAAGTATAGAATGACTAGATGAAAAAACTTAAGTATGAATATTACCATTTTTTTCCCTTTCCTTTCGCGTACGCCTTTTCTGTTTTTTTGTGTCTTCAACCGGCCTTATAAGGAAAGGAGGATAACTGAGACACTTTGCTTGATCTTCCATTGGTTAAACAGAGAACCCTTGAATCACGTGATATTGATAATCTGATACGCCTCACATAATTGAATTTGTATTATATACACACACACAATAGGCCGACATATTACTTGAAAAATAATGCAACATAAATTTGGAATATGAAGTAAAGCCTTCGAATCCTAGAGTTCCAGATCCAAAGTTGTTTACTAAACGAATTATAATAACTGGTTGACATCCTCATGCAAAATTCTGTATATGTCGTTGTGTTTATTTGTTTACCCGTAAAACGATACAGTTGAATTTATACGTCGCTTTAAGACAAGTGAATTAATTTGATCCCAAAATGATAGTTAAGTTTAGATAAAAATGTAATACTTAGCCTTGATATGGAGATAAAACAACAAAGATTGTAGTTCCGGGAGCAGGGTTTCTGGGGACAACGATATAAATGAACAAGAAGATAAAATTATATTGAGCTTTGAACAGAATGTAGCGTATGTTTATCAGAAAATTCGTGTGTTACAATGATAATAGGGCTCACTATTTATAGCTGCACCTAGAGAATAAGGTCCAAGGATCAAGCCTCTCTTTAGTGACAATTATAAGGGCCACTGAAGAATATGTAACGGCAGGCAGTGGATGTCATATTCTTTGTAATGGGCCGCACACTTAATGTTGTAGAATATTCTTTATTAATACTACCGGGTGGCAGACATTTATTTCATCTTTATGAGCATTATTCTCTCCGGTAACAGACGAGCCTCCGGATTCGACTGCCTTCTGTCTTTGGCTCCACGTATCACTTTCTCATGCGATCATTTAATATAAACATATTTTACCCTATGCAGATAGTCCCCCTCCTTTCCGGTGGCGTAACTTTGTGTCGCCGGGAAGTTTGTAGAAATACCTTTTTTGGCAAAAAATTCTCTGACCCCCTTTGAAAAGTTTATGACGGTTGATTAGACACACGTCTCTCCGCATTTAATGCCCCGAACACGCGTCATCCCACGATTTAGCATCACTTTTACCGGTTATCTCGGTAATTATGGCCACAATTTTAGTTGCGTATTCCTTTACTTATACGCATCAAACTTCTTCATTTACACTTCATAATTCTCTAAACTTTCTCAAACTCTCTTTACTCAGCTCGTACTTTGTTCTTCAACCTTTCTTTAACCTTCTTCTTGAGAAAAAAACCTTCCCTCCTTTCTGATAAAAAATGGCATCTTCTTCCAGAAACCCTAGTTCTTCAAAGAACAAAGGTAAAGCTGATGATGCTCCTCATCCTATGGTGAGCTGCATCATCCCAAAGAGTCTTGTCACAACTAAAGACTTTGAAGAGAAGTATCCTTCCGCTCACCCTTGTATATGGACCGTTAGAGTATACCCTTATTTCATCCGTCCTTCCAGTATTCCTGCTGTGAAGGAAGACTACCATTGTCAAGATTTAGACATTATCGCTCCTGACCTGGCGGAGCGGATAACCTTACCCAAGAAGGGTTTTACGTATCCCTTCACTTTGGGGCCGTTTTCTTTGAGTGAAGAGCCTGACTCCGTCATCATGTAGTTCTGCATCCGCTACCAGGTATGCCTAGCATAAGTAAGTTTTTCTGTATTGAGGACAGTCGCTTGTCTTCGACGTCTGTGCCAGCATATGGGAGAGGATCTAACCTAGCTCGATTGATGAACCTCTATTCCCCCAAGATCTTCCGCG